GTTAACTTCGTCATAGGGTACCGATTAAGGGCGTTGTAGGGGTGCTTAATACCTTCCCTACACGTAACCGACCCCCGAACCCAATTCTGGTTATCAAGGCCATTATTGGACTTTTAAAAACCTTTTCTTTTTCCAATGTTTTGAGTAAAATATTGGTGGCGACTCCATGAACCTATTTTCAAAACCATTAATTAAGGATTAGTCTGGTGTCCGGGCATTCCTTAATTGATGAGATCTTTAAAAGGATGTCTAAACCATAGGTCGCAAGATCGGAAATTTTCGGGTTGCGACACGTACTAAGGTATAAAGTTGAGAGATAAAATCCTTAACTGATTATTGGAAGGGTATGTGGTATCAAAAAAATAGTTAGCGAGCTAAACTCATATGTAACTCGATTAACGCATGTCAATATTGTAGCGAGCCCACACCCAAGCTACACTATACCTAACGATTGATATTAAGTTTTCTTAGTTTAAGTGGCGAAATTCAAGAAATCAATGTTGTGTTGATATTGAATTGGTATCCAAAATTGTGTTATATGACCTAAATACAATGGGTTTTTCTGTGTTGTAATTCAGTAAGGTCAAACCACTTAGACTAATCACTTGTGTTGTAAGAAATCTTTTAGTTGAAATACATGACAATGCATAAAGTAATTGTGTTGTTAATTTGTTGTGTTACTAAGATGTTGTGTTGATAAGTTGTAATATTATGAAGATGTTATATTGATAATATGTTTTTGTTTATAGATATGTGGCATTGTTAGTTATTAAGTTGTATACTAAGATGTAAAATTATCCTTTTTATATGATTGATTAGTTGTGTCATTTTGTGTTATTTTGCATTGTTATTTTGTGCTATCATCAAGAAAATTATATGTTGAAGTAGAAGTTATTTTTCTAAAGTTGTCTCCTCTAAAATTTTAATGAATATTTAAACCTATAGTATACTATAATATAATATGTATACTTTTTATTTAGTTATTATAAATATAAATGTAATTGTGATTCTTATGGGAAATATATATATATATATATATATATATATATATATATATATTAATTTTGATATATTAAAAAACATTAGTTTAGTGATTTAATATTATTATTGAATATCTTGATGAAAGGTTCAAATCTCATGTTTAACATTTTAATAATTATTTGCTCTTGTTTTTACATGTCACATCATTATGTCATATCATCAAAATATTGATGTTTGCATCATCTATTATGACAGCATCTCATCATTTGTCATGTCACTCCTTAATGTCACATTAGCAAAAATTATTAAATTTTTAAAGAGATAAACTAAAATTACACAATTATATTATTTAAAAGATTAAAATTACTTAATTATAACTAAGAGAACTAAATCACACACTTACAATATTTAAAGAATATATATATATATATATATTTGTGTGTGTGTGTCAAAACACACATAGAGATATATATAATTTAAAATATTTTGAATTTTTTTCTTATATATCATTTTAGAACACATACACATAGAGATATATATAATTTAAAATTTATTTTATTTATTAATAATGTAATTCAATTGGTTGAGTAGTGTGTAAGTTGTTGTAAACTCATTGGTATAAAATATTTTATTTTCTAAAGAAGAAAAATAAAGAAAAATATATTTTTTAATTCTATGAATAAAAATATTTTATTTCCTAAAAAAGAAAAAATAATAAATCCAATTATTTAATCTATGACAAATGATACTTACACCCCTATTTATTAATAAATACACCTTCATTGAATAAAATTTCCTATATACCATTCAAATTTATTTCTTCTTTTTACAAACAAACTTTCTTTCCTAAAACATTTTTTTTTCTCACCCTTCTATCAGTCTTTCTCTTCGGTAACTCTACATTGATTTCTTGTTTTATTTTATTTTATTTTTTCTTCCATTCCTCTATTCAACAATCAAAAGGCTCACACCCCTTCATTATTTTTTAAAACCTTATTTTGGACCATCATATTTTTCATTTTTAAACTCCATTTTTGCGCCCTCCCTTCTCTTCTATAGCATTCCTTAATTTATTTATTTTTTTAAATCCTTTACATTTATTTTCTTCACCATCTTTTTTCTCTTTAAAAATAATAAATTTTCATAAATTTTATCACCTAAATTGAATACATGATATGAATTAATGGATTATATTATGTTTTTCATTGATGATACTTTGTGATCTATTTAATTCAATTTTGACAAATTAAGAAGTGATATCTCAGGTGATTATTCTCAAAATGGAAAAAAAAATGTGCATTTTCTTCCAGAAATCATCATTACTTTTTCAAGGTATGATTGTATATATTATTAAAAAAAAAATTCTAAAACAATCATATCATTCTAGAAAGTAATTTTTCGTAATAAACATTTCAAAAGTACTTTTTTTCAAAAATTGTTATTTTATTAAAATATAGTTTCAAGAATTATTTTTAAAATAATATATGATTATTCTGGAGTGTAATTTAGAAGAGAAGCTACCAAGGGAGAGAGAGCTAGATGATTATTTGTGAAAAAAAACAGGATTAAAGAAAAATACTAAATAATTTTATATATACCAAAAAAAAATAATGAGAGGTATATCTAATAGATAAGAAAAGTGAAAACTATAAAAGCCTAATCTTATTCCAATATCCTTACTAATAGAAACCCAGTAGCTGAGTCAAAACGCACAAACAATACACATCGACCAAACCCAGATACGTTACAGCGCGAAGAAATCCATTAAAAGACCCAAAGAGGAACAAGCGGGCTTGGCCCACGAACACAGAAAAGAGACTTGCTGACACAGGCCCACTTTGGGAAATTAGCCTTTCCCAAATTTTGTACAAAAAATGAAAAACAGAAAGAGTGGTAAGACTGTCACTTACCTTTCTAACACACTCTTT